AGAGAGGGAGAGAGGGAGAGAGGGAGAGAGGGAGAGAGAGAGAGAAACACAAAATGTCTGATTATATATAGGGCAGAGCCTCTGGGAGAGGGGAAGCCCAGGTCTGGTAGGCCAGCCATAGGGGACTGAGAGATTCTGGAAGAATCCGGAGGCCAGGTCCGCTTCGATATGCTAAATAGGTACCTCACTGGCTCCTCCCAGCTCTGAAACATCTGGAACCCTCTGGCTTAACTGCATTAGCCCAGAGAAACTACTGGCCTGGCTCCATTGATTCAGGCTCTGGGGCTCTTCTTCAGTTAGAACACTACACACACACACACACACACACACACACACACACACACACGCTACCCCCTCCAACCAAAAAAGTTGGAGAACCGATAGTAAAAACTTTTGTATGTGCGCATGCCTGTGGAGGGCAGAGAGTGACGTCAGGTGTCTTTCTCTACCACACACCACCTTATGTTTTGAGACATGATCCATCTCTCACTGAACCTGGAGCTTACCAGCTGTCTGGAATGCCGGGCACTAAAGCCACAAAAATCCCGCTGTCTCTGCTTCCCAGCTCTGGGATTATAGGCCATACCGCCATGCTAGGGTTTTCCTTAGATTTTGGGCGCATCAGGTCACCAGGCTTTCTAAGCAATCACTTACACCCAACACTCCCATCTCTCCTGCCCACTTCATTGAGTGGTGTTCTCAATGGCAAGATGATGCAGAGGCAGCTTGACCCCTTCCATCTATGCAAGCTGAGAGAGAAATGGAGACACTTCAGAAGTAATCCTTCTATCCGGGGGTCCCTCATTTCATCCCCAGCCCACTCCATCTCTTTAATAAGGGCCAGATTCCGTGAGTTTCTTTGGTTCCACAATGTGATCAGCCACAAAATCAAATAGGATAGGCACTGCCATCTCTCAGAAAAAATTCTGATTAGTTTCCAAAAGGAGGCGGAGGAGAGGGAGAAGGGAGGAGGATGGGAAAAACAAAAAACCAAAAAACCTCTTTAGGGCTATTTCCCTGTGGTATTTCCACTTGTTGAATCATATCGAGGCCAGAACTGTGCATGGGTTTAGCGGCCATAAAATTAACTTTTAGTTTTGAACATACTCCCTTGCCTGTCTCTTCCATGTAAAAAACTCTTACAACCCAAAGAGGGTTTCAATCCGAAAACGCTAAGGGCACGGCACTGCGGCCACTCGGGAGCCAAAATGCCCCCAACTCACGACCCAAACAATGGCTCGTGACCAGGCGAGCTTTATCACACTTTGTTTTCCAAGAAGCCTGACAGACAGGACTGTAATTCCATGAGTCGTTCGACTTCCCGAGGGCGAGGTGTGGGTTGTTACCACACTGACTCCTCGTGAACTCGAACTCAGCGAGCAGTTTAAAGATTAACTTTCTGCAGTTTCCGTGGCCGAAGGCGCGGGGTGAATGGCGCGATTGGGGACTTGTGCAGGGCCCGGGGCCCGTGGCGCGGCTGCGCTTTCAAAAGGCGATTTGTTGGCCCGGCTGAGGCTCATTTCCATGCAAAGCGCCTGACATCAGAGCACCTTTTGTTGCTAAACGCTTTCTTGAGCCTGGAGGGGAGGGAGTCATGTGGAGTTGGAAGAGCTCATTCTTAAGAGAGGGGCCCAGGACTGGCTAGCCAGGGTCCACAGGCGTCACTGTCCCCTGCCGGGCTCTACACAGACTCTCCAGTAGAAGCGAGTCGCGTGCCACCCGGATCCGGTCTCCGGAGCAGGACACAGAGCCCGTGCGGTGAGGGTCCTGGCTTCCTCGACCCGCGAGCTCCCCGCCTCAGCCAGTGGTGTGGACTCCGCCTCAGCTACCCTGTTGCTGCGCCGGGCCGTGCTAGGAAAAGTTTCTGGAGTTGTCAATCGCGGTCACCACGGATCGAGGTGCCTAGTTCTGGCAGTGGTGCTGGTACCCAGCGGAGCCTGGGGCATGCGACGCGGGGGCGCGGCCCGGTGACGCCGCGGGCGGGGACCTTGCGCCCCGACGGCCGACGCTCTGCTGCGGGCAGTGGGCAGCGCGGGGACCCGGACGCACGGGGACGCGGCCATGGAGGAGGACGCGGGAGCTGCTAGCCCGGCGCCGGAGCCGGAGCCGGAGCCGGAGCCCGAACCCGAGGTGGATCCCGCCCGGGAGTCCGAGCCCGAGGCCGGCACGTCCGAGGCGTTCTCTCGCCTCTGGACCGACGTGATGGGCATCCTGGTGAGCTACCTGGGGAGGCAGGCGCGGGAAGCGGGGCTCACCCCTCGCCCACCTATTGGGCACCCTTTCTCCTCTCCGCCGTATTCTCTCTATATAGGGGTTGAAACTGAAATTTAAAAAACAAAACCAAACAAAACAAAAACAAACAAAAACCCACCCACCGGTCACATCAGAGACACCTCTTGAACCATCGGCTGTAACCAGGGACACCTGCTTAGAAAAGTTGGGGTGGGAAAAGCCAGAAAGAGTAGATGTAAATACTGCTTGTAAATATTTGGCGAGTGGACTTCTAATGGCCTCACGGTACTGATGTTTATCCACACAGGGCTTGTCGTGTGCCTATGAGAGGAAAACAACTATTTCCTTGTGCAGAACCACCACGGTGTTTACTTGCTCTGTCCTCGGCTCTTCCAGTTTGTAGAATTACAGGATATTTGTTTTATGTGTTTGGCACTGAGAACAATAAGACATATATTACTGAATCTGTGCTAATGAGAGGTTTTGAATTGTCCAGTGGCTAAAACCGCCTATGGATTTGACTTAGTTCTGTAAAGTAGTTTTTTTTTTTTTTTTTAATACCGAGGATGAAGTTTTAACCTGCTACGAGTTTACCTTGGAAGGATAGGGTTTTAGCAGCGTCTCTTGGGGAGCCATAGAGTGTGTATGGAGAAAACTATTTCTCCATAGTGGTTAAGGTCTTGGGCTTTGAAGTGATTTAGCCTGGTTCAAATCCTTGCTCCCCAACTGTCTGTCTACAACTACCATGGCAAGGTCATCCGCTCCTTCTGATTCTCCATCTCATTTGAAAAACAGGAAGACATGTGTCTTGTGTTTTATGAGAGGCACTAGGTCAATGTATATGAGCTATTCAGCATATTGCCTGATGAATGGTAGATGGTCAATGAATACAGCCCTGTTTATATAATTTTTCTTGCAGTTAGAGCCTGTGTCTCATCTTTCGGATATCTTGAAGTTCAGCGTATCTCATTTTCCTGGGTTAAAGATTTCTGTCTGTGCTTTCAAATACATAATAAAAGACATGTTTACTTACGCTAGAATTTTACGTATGTATGTTGTGTACATACACCATGTCATATGGATTTAAAACCCGTTGCATTTCCTAAACCTTACAGAGATACATACGACGCTCAGTAGAACTCCAGGAAAACCTGGGATTGTTTTAAATGGTGACAGACAATCTTAAGTTAAACAGGCAGACCCCTTATCTTGGCTCTTGCCCAGAAGCCACTCTGACTTTTCAGTCACAGAGAATGCTGGTTTGATAGTATCACATTGCATCCTTTAGGTGGGTGTAGGCAGGGTGGGTGAGTGGGGGTGGGGAAAGTGCAAGGCACACTGAGTGCTGTTTGGGGAGGAGGGATTGGCAGGTCACACTTTCTGAATATTTCGCTTCCCTTTCCCTGGCAGATTCCAGCCCTGCCAGGGAAGTTGTAGCAGAGTGTTCTTTGGCTGAGGTAAAAGATGGGGCGGGGCTCTAGAAGATCAAACCTGGTATTCAAAGAGCGGATGAAACAGAAAATAGATGCTCTTACTCAGCCTGGAGTTGAGTGTGAAGCAGGATAGAAGATCAATGTGGCCCAACCCTTTTCCTATCCTTTATACAGTCTCCATTTTCTTTGGGACAAAGTTAAGTGCAGAGAGGGAGACCTGGCTGCCCTGCCCCTACATTCTAGTGGGAAGGTCTCATGTCGAAAGGAGGGCCAGAGAGCTGCCCTCCAAGTGTTTATTAAAAGCTGTAGCTTTGGGGCAATATAGCAAGACACAGCGGTGACATTTGAGTCGCTCTGTTTTTGTTGAAACGTGAGGTACAGTTTCATTTATTTTGTGTTTTTAATTGTGGAATTCTAAAGTCATCTGAAGGGGTTTTGACCAATGGCCTGTACATTGTTGGTGACAATGTTCTAGGTGACCCCAGCCCATTGCCTATCACCCTAGTGGGCAAAAACCTTTTTAGGTAAAAGAGCAGGACCCCCATCTCTGACAGTGCTGAACAATGAGAGGTGCCCCCTAGTTCTCCAACAGGGTCCAGGCAGGGGGAGGGTGGAATCTATATGATATAATCTAGGGAAGGCTGTGGCATGGGGTTATTAGTTAATTAGTCCTAATTCAGTAAACAAGGTATGAATACTTGAGCTCACAAGAACATATTTTGCATGTAAATTAATTCAGTCCATGCACAGGTAAGCTGCAAATGGTTGCTTTCAGATAATTGTTAACAAAATACTTACTTAGAGAATAGTAAAACAGTCTAAAACATGGAAATTAATCAGTGATAGAATAAATAACACTAATAAGTTGATACAGAAATTGTGAACAAAGAGGGAATGGCCCATGAGAAGCTCTACTTGTGTTTATCTGGAGAGTGGGGTCAGCATCCGGATTCAGGATTCAGTCTCCAGTGCCAGGAATTAACTGTGTACTAAGAGCATAATTATGTCAAAGTCAAAGAACTGTGTACTTTTGAAATATGGAAGTCCCATTAACATCCTTTATATCAGGGAGGACTTTTGAGGGTGTTAATGAATTCTGTTCCAGCAAAAGCTACCATCTGGGCAATTCCATCAGGCAAACCAAAATCCAGGCGCTTCTAAGATCGTAGCACAACTGTGAAATGTTTGTAAGTCCTGAGCATAAACTTGCCATCTCCCCCCACCCCCATGGCGTTGTTACAGTGTGGCCAGGCATAGAGTTTCAAAGCATAGCACCTTTCCCTATGACAGGCTTCAAGGTATGTCTGCCCAGAAGTGCAGAAGTGCAGAATCTGGTAGAATAGTTTTTCTTTACCACCTCTACCCTCAGGTTTTTGATTGGGACAGTGCTTGTTTTTAAGAGTGGGAATTGCCAAATTTATTTAAATGTGGTTAGATATGAAAAGCCTTTTTTCTTCTCTTTTCTGTTTTTTTGTTTGTTTGTTTGTTTTTTCAATTATTTTTCCAGGACTGATTGTTCTTGTGGCAAATTGGGATGGTCACTTAGCTTTGGCCTCTAGCAACTGAAGGCCTCTAAGGCTGGGCCAGGCCTCTACTAACTGAGAAGTTTAGTTAAGTCCTTATTGTTCCCAGGATCCTGCAAGACACACCTCCCCAAGCCCTAAGCCTCCTCTGGCCCCTGCAGACTCAGTAGTTTGTCTTCAGTTCCTAACACTTCACTGAAAATACCCATTGTGTGGAAAGATCCTGAGTCTTAAGCAAGTTGTGAAAATCTGCAGAGTAGGCAGGAATCCTCAGAACTATTACATTTAGATCTCTTGCTGTCTACGTCAGTTCCAAAATAAAGCAGAACCCAAAACCTTCAATGAACTGAGAAGAAGAAACTAAAGAATACATTCCTTTTTCTTTGTCAGGCCAAGAGTGGGGGAGGAGAGATGTTAGTGAGATCCGGAGAGGGTATTTAGAAAGGTGACTCCTCAGGGAACAGTTCATTTACAAGTACCCTTGGGAGGTGTCTTGAGTTAAGCCTATCAGCTAATGATCTAATTAAATTTACACATTGGCATTTGGGAGTCGGGGGCTGGAGGGGTAGCTCAGTAGGTAGCCAGCTTGCCTGGCATGCTCCGAGGAATAGCACATCATCCCTCTGTGTGAAGGCAAACGTTTGTACTCCCTGCACACCACTGGAGGCGGAGGCAGGAGGATGGGAAGCTTAAGAGTGTCCTCAGCTACTGTGACCTGAGGCCAGAGATAGGGTTGGGGGGAGTATAAATTGAAGAACCTTGGTTTAAAATATTCTGACTTTTAGTCAAAAGCCTGTGCCTAACCTGTATAAGTTGGGAGGGTCCCCAGGTGAGTTTGGTTGATGACTTGGTCCAGGTTACCTAGTAGGTTACTCATCATCCTGAGAAAACCAAACTGAACGGAACTAAACCAAACCAAACTAAGCCAAGCCAAGCCAAACCAGACCACAAAACTCAAACCAAGCATGTAGAGCTACCTCGAGGAGGAGTTGGTTTTTGTTCTTAAAGGAGGCTCCTGTTCCCAGCCACCTCCTTTCTTGGTCGCGTGCTCATTGGCTTTCATTTGCCATTCTCTGCCTACTCTGGGGCCTTTTGGTCCATCGTAAGACTCTCCTCTCTTTTCTGTGGTTGGATGTGGCTACAGGGTAGAGGCAGCCCTTAGCAGATATGAGGGTTGTGTTCCATTGCTGGACTGAGCCTGTGCACACCTGGTCCTGATCCTTTCAGTAGGTATGACCTGTCCCAACAAATTATGCTTGCACATGCATCCAGATATGTCCATGGAATAGACAACTGATGCTAAAGTAGAGGAAAGCAGTGGATTCAGTGTGGTCACTTTAGGAAGAGGGGCACATCAAGACAGATCTCAAGTTTGTCTTGAGGTTTATTTAGGTTTAAATGGAGACTAAAGTATGCTTACTCAAGCAGGCCTGGTCAAGGTGTGCTCCTGACCGCTGTTCACTCATTCTTGCCTCTGCAGTGGTCCACCAAGCTCAACTGCTGGGTTGTCAGCCTCTAAGGTTAGCTGTTCTTTTCTGGAGAGGACAGTCTGTCCTGGGAGGTTTCACTCTTCCTGGTGACTTTCTGGCCTAGGACACGCACGCACGCACGCACGCACACGAACTTGCATGTGCAAACACAGAATATTGCATTTAAGAAAAATAATGCACGTTGGTGGTAATAAATTATCAATGACGTGGAGGAAGAAATGAAACACAGTAAAGGTTTTTATACCTGTTAGAGCAGTAGAATCCTGTGAGTTTGGAGGCTTCGGTAGAGAGCCGGGTAGAGGTGATGCGAGCAGAGGCTACATGTGTATACATTCCATCATTCATTCTCTTTCCTCTCCCTTGCCAAGCCCCACATTTGACTCAGCATCAAAAGAAATGAAGGGTTGTTCCCTACCAACACTTAAAAAGATCAACACTACTGCCCATATTCCTCGCTCAGTCATATCCGGGTCCTCTTCTGGCCTCCATGGCCACCAGCACACAGTGTACATACACATAGCACATACACACGCAGA